GAAAACTGAAGGAAGGCCATTACGCACCTTGTCACAAATTTCCCGTTGCTTTCCATATCACCTTGCTGGAAATAAGCGGCGAAGCGGTGAAGGTATTGGTCATACGGGAGCAAGGCATGCGTCTCAGCGCCATAAATGTTACCATATAGCACTCCTAACATAGCCATGATAACAGGTATCTGAATGAAATGGTTCGAGAGAAAATAGGATAAGAGCGTCTAAAGATGAGAAACCCACATTATGCTCAAGTGGCTGCTGAACAAAGTGCTGGTCCGCTGCATGAGCTCCCTCCAAAAGTTTCTCAAAGTTCTCGAAACCAATGTGAACAGCAATTGACAGACCGATAGCAGACCACAATGAATATCTTCCGCCTACCCACTAAGAAAAAGTTTAACATTGTATGTTACAGCAAAGATTGATATGCCAAATACGCACGTCCCAAAATTCAAACATGTTTGAAGGATTGATACCAAATTCTTGCGCTTTTGGGACATTAGTCGATAGAGCCACAAAATGTTTGGCAACAGCGGACTTGTCCCCTGCCTAAAAAAAGCTCATCTTCACTGGAAAAAAGAAGGAAGAAGATTGCTAGCCTGCTTCAGAAACCATTCTTTAGCAGTTTCGGCATTTGTTATAGTTTCCTGAGTGGTGAAAGTCTTCGAAGCAATGATAAACAATGTCGTTTCGGGATTAAGCTTTTTAGTGACCTGAAACTATCTGCTGAAGAAGTCATGAGGGCAAAGCAGTATATAAAGCAAAAAGCAAATACCTCCGCGATGTGAGTTCCATCAACATTGCTCACAAAGTGAACGTTGGGTCCAATTTGATAATGACGCAATGCTTCGCAGACCATCAATGGACCCTTAAACGATTTTTGACAGAAGATTTCAACATTCAAGAAGGAACTAAACGTACAAGATCTGAACCACCGATACCAATGTTCACAACGTCTGCAATTTTCTTCCCCGTGTAGCCGCTCCATTCCCCACTGATAATTTGGTGGCAAAACTCTTTCATGTGATTCAAAACAGTGTTCACGCCAGGCATCACCTAGAACACCTACTTTTCAGTCATCTCTCCGTTTCTCATTACTTCCCATCGCTGTCAAAGCAAAGCGCCAATACAAGTTGTAGAAATGATTGAAGAGTAATTTATATTTCGTCAAAGGATAAACATATCTTTTCTCAGAGTTTAACCGATCTCCAGCGACGATTAGGGGAAGTATTCAAAACCAAGCACTCACATCTTTTCCGTTAACAGAAATCGGTGTGTTACTTCTGTTTCGTAGTGCAATATGTAGCACAGCACGGTTTTCAGTGAAGTTTATTCGCTCACCGCTAAACATCGCTGCACGCATCATCTCCACATTTCTGGATTTAGCCTGAAAAAATTTCCTCAATACCAGACAAAAATTGTAAGATTTAAGCTTTTAAGTTCTCCTGTTCTTCAGGCAAACAATCTGTGTACTCCGATGGAAAGTTGTAACTGGTCTTAATCGTCTTACCATCTTTTCCAGCGATTTGCCGTGATTGTAAACATGGTAAAAACTTGGTAAATCGTAAAGCGCAGGGGCTACTTGATCTCAAACGCTAGAATTTCGGTCAGTCGTCTTTTAAAGAGCACATGGTGTGACTGCTGACTGCATCATAACAAGAACCAATAGTCTACGTTTCTTCGAGTGGTAGTCGATCGGAAGGACTAAGTCCTGCGAACCCCGGCGCAGCTAATGGGCGCTGCCTCAGAGTCGACATCTAATGATCCGCTGCTCCTGTCTCTGCGCCAGCGTCAAAAAACCGCGCAGCCGCGGTCTGCAGTAGCTTGGCAGTGTCCTGATCCGTGTAGTTACTAACAATTACCATGTGTGACATTTATTTGTAAGCTGTTCGAGAATCGCAAGAGGGCAGGACAGTACAGAAACGCAGCGCGCTTCAATGCTACATGTGCCTGCGTAAGGCTTCAGTCGAGTTGATCAATTCTTATCACTACACTATTCAGCTTTGAAAATTCCCATCGGGTTCTAGTTTTTACTACAGAGATCTGTCGCTGACTATAAATCATAATGTTTTTTTTTTCAATAGTATTGTCAGAAAAAGCCAAAAATTTGGTTCAAATGATCACACAAACAAATCTTATATGGTAAAATTATCTGTCATTTATATCGATGTTCAATTCTGTCGATGCAAAAGCTCAGATGGTTCGAAAAAA